CAGCGAGGCCACCCAGGTCCCAGGGGCCTGGAGGTCACTGAGGAGAAAGCCCAGCGCAAAGCTCAGGAGCGAAGGCAGCAGGGCTGCCCGGGTGCTAGGGTGTGGCCCAGGGGCTGGCCGGAGGCTGGGCTGGGTCCAGCTCTGACTCCGGACACGTCCGCCCCCCAGCCCCACTTTACTCCCACGTGCAGTGGAGAGGAAGCAGACGCCTGTTGCCACCTGTGGGCAGTGAAGCCCCACAAGCAAGACGCAGGGTGCCAGTGGGCACCAGGTGGCATCAGGGCAGAGGGTGGCAGGGCCTCTGGCTGGACCAAGAGCCCCTCCCTGCAGCTCTGGGGAGGGAGCAGGAACCCAGACCGCACCCTTCAGGGCTGCTGAGATCACCACGGGGGTGACCTGGACAGGTGCTGTCACTGGCGTGGGCCACGGGTCCCCAGGGCCAGAGCGTCAGTCACCAGGGGACTTTGGTTTTATGACCCCTTGGTGAAGTTGAGGCCAAAGAGGTCCCACGGTGCACTCTGTTTGCAAATTTTTAAAAAATCACATTCCTTGGAGCAGGAAGCTGGGGTGGGTCTGGAGTGGGCAGGGGACGTTGGGGGACGGAGGGAGGGACCACCAGGGCTGGGAGGAAGAGGCCCGGGAGGTAGGTGGGAGGCGCGGAGCTGAGGCAGCCTGGGCCAGGCGTCCCAGCTGGTCCTCGCTGTGCAGGGTGCACTCACCGCAGACCCTGGGAGTCCCCGAACAGGGACAGCTGGTCGGGAGCAAGGTCGGCATGGAGGAAGGCGAAGCTCTCCAGGATGCAGTCCATCAGGCTCTCGGCCGCGGCCTCCTCCTGCCGGGCCCCGCGGGGCTGTGGGCAAGGGCCAGGTTTGAGGCCAGTGCCGCCCGGGCTCCAGCCAGGACCCAGCCGGGACCCCAACCAGGATCCAGGCGGGACCCTGCAGGGACCCCAGCCGGGTCCTTCAGGCCTGACGTGTCCTGGTCTGGGCAGGGTGTGTGTGGGGGTGGCGCTTCCCAAGGTCCCTCCTGAACAACTGACACCGCCAAGCAAAATCTCAGGGCCGCCCCTCTGAACAGCCTCATCTGGGTCCGCGACACCCCTGGACAGCACAGGTGGTGGGAATGAGGAGTCCAGGAGGGGACACGGCGGGCAGGCCCCTTCCCCACAGAGCTGCCACTCTGTTCCCGCTGCCCCTGCCCCGTGGGAAGGTGGGGCCGTGTGGCCGGGTGGCTCAGTTTTCTAAGGTCCAGAAACCTGGGGTTTGTGGGAAGCCCCGAGTTTCCAGTTCTGCACATACAGATTGTTTCCAGAACATGGTGGAGTCTGCCACAAACCCCGTTAGAAGCTCAGAGGCTTCAGGTGAGCTCAGGATGCTCCTGTTGAGTCACTGTCCTGCCACATGGCTTCCTTCCTGGAGACTGTCCCCTCCCCAGGACAGCTAGGCCTCGCCCCCAAAACTGCACCCCAGGCCCAGCCAGCAGAGGCGGGAGCAGGAGCCAGGTCCTGAGTCGCCCGGGAGACTCCCGAGCAGCCAGAGAATGAAGGCTGCAGAGAGCCCCCGACAGGGCCAACAGGCAGGCGCAGGGTGTGTGTGTGTGCGTGTGCGTGTGCGTGTGTGTGTGTGCGTGTGTGTGGAGACACGCACACAGTGGACTCTCCAGGAAGTCACAGCAGGAACCAGAACCCGTGAACCCAGCAGGGCCGTGGGGGCCAGGGTTGGGTCCCTGCAAGCCCCCTCCAGCACTCCCCCAGCCACCAGAGGAGGCGCGTTGAAGACCCTCGTGTGAAGGTGCTGCCGCGTCAGCCCTGAGCTCCAGCCCACAGCACCCTGACCCGGCGGAGGGCAGCTCCCGGGACCCCAGCCAGGACCCGGCCAGCCCCACAGCGACGCTCTCAGGGCCACTTAGCCACAGCCTCTGACAAAAAGCACAAAAATACGAAAAACGCGGCACCGACTAGACCAGGAGCGTGACGGGGCCAAGGAGCAGAAGCAAGGCCGCCGTCGCCTGGCCTGGCCTCCCCTGGGCGACCTGAACACCCTTGAGAGTGACTGTGCAGGCGCCTCGCGCTGGTTCCAGGGTCACAAGTGAATCTTAGCAAGCAGCAAATGCAGGTCCACGGTGGCTCGGGTCACCTGCGTGCTCGTGCACGATGCCCGCTCATGGTGCACGGCTGCACGGGGCACACGTGCCATTTCTGTTCAGGAAGCACCCTGGAAACCAGGACCTAGGGGTATTTTTATCATTCTCAAAACAAAGGGAAATGTTCCTTAAAGATGTTCTGAATTATTGCTTGTGGCCGTATTTTAAGACTTGTGTGGTAAGTGGGTGTCATTTTTCAAATTACCCGTATGTGAAGGAAGTTGTGTGCGCGTTGACTCAAACTGTCCCACACAGAAAGACTTCAAAAGTACAAAAAAAGTGACATTATTTCTTGAAACTTTTTCTCAAAAATTTCAGGAAGGTACTTTTTAAAGCCTGTAGCAGTGATAAGCGTGAACATTTTTTTTTAAGTTACTGGTATAAATGAGGATTTCCACCTCCTGTGCTGATGGGTGATGTTAGGGCAGGTGACAATACAGCCAAAAAGATGGACTTTTGAAGAGAGCTGTTGGTGGTTCAGTGCCAAAGTGTCCCACAGGGAGTGGGTTGAAGGTAACTGATGTGTGAGAAAGTGCTGGTGACATGTCCGTTTTATTTTACGTACATTTTCAGCTTATGTAAATGAAACGTAGAGTTGTCTGTCCAGGCGAGCCCCTCTCAGAGCCACCGACCCTGAGCCCTCCTGTGAACGGAGGCGCTGGCCTAGCCGTGTGCGGAAGGTTCTGGTGGGGCACGTGGGGGAGGCAGCAGGTGGCTCGGGGCCTTCCAGGGGCCAGAGAGACCCACGTGTGGCTCCTTAACCCCAGCTGCAGCCCCCTCTGCCGCCCAGGTCAGGAGACTCGTGGGAGGGCCGGGTTCTGGCTGAGTGTGGGACAGGCCATCCTCTGTGAGCCCCGGCCCCCCTCGTGACGCTCCTCCTGGCCCCATGAGGGCTCTCGTCCCCACTTGACAGGAGGACGCTGAGGCCCACAGAGACGCCGTCTACCCAGGTCGTGCTGAGATGCGGCCAGGAGGCCTGCCCTGGCCCGGTGGCCCCAGGGCCCATGCCCAGTGGCCGGGCCATCAGCAGAGCAGGGCTGTTGCCCCGAGGAACATGGCCATACCTTCAGCCGGTCCCTGAAGCCGAGGACCTGGTACTCGAGCTCCCGGAGCTGGGGCTGGGCAGGGCCCGTGGACCTCAGTAACTCCAGGACCTCCTGCAGGGGCCTCTCGGGGGCCATGGCAGGCCCGTCCACTGCGGCCCCAGCTTCTCCTTCATCCTGGTCCTCCCGGCTGCTCGGGAGCGTGCAGCTGTGGGACAGGGGGCCCTGGGGCGGGTTGGGGCTCTCTGCTCCCAGGTTCCTGCAGCCAGGCTGCTCCACAGGCGAGGCCCCCGCCAGGTGGGCCACCTCCGGCAGCAGGCCCAAGGGCGGGGGGCCCTTTGGGGCCTCCTCTTCAGTGGCGGCGGCAGGGTCAACGGCCCAGGGCAGGGGCCCCACATCCGGGGTAGAGGCGTCCCGGGGCTCCTCGGAGCTGAAGGAGTCCATCTCTGGCAGCTCCTGGCTCCGGCTTCGCAGGCTGGGGCCCTGGAGGTCACTCTCGGACAGGTAGCTGAGGATGGAGGGGGCCCTCGGCCTGCCCAGCAGCAACGCCGGCTGGGCTGGCTGCTGCAGGACAGACTGGGAGGGACACAGCAGCCTCACCCGCCGCCCGACTCGGCCAGGCCCCGACACCCGCTCTGCCTCCCCAGCTCAGGAGGCGGTCCGCCAGGTGCCCACACTCGGCCCTGCCCCTGCCCCTGCCCGGCACCCTTCCCATGCACTCCTCGGGCGCTTGTTGGGGGTCACCTTCCTGGAGCCTGTCCCTCCATGCCCTGTTCCCTGCGGTCCCCCCGCCTGCCAGCAGCCCCTCTCCTTCTCTGTTTTCCGAGGTCTCTGTGGCCCTCAGGTGGCAAGTGGCCCTCATCCTGACACCGAGTCTCCCCATGGAGGACAGCCCTCCCCTGGCCAAGAGCAGAACGTGGTGTGGAGGTCTGAATGAGTGAAGTGGACAGATGGACAGATGGACTGAGGGCCTGAGTTACACACATTGTCACAGCAGTGGCAGCAGCTGTCACTGGGCAGCGTGAGTGTACCTGCCCTGCCCCAGGCCTCGCGTCACTCCATGCAAACCTTCACCGTGTCCCCGGAGGGTGGCACGGTCAGTCTCACTGCTCTGATACAGGAACTGAGGGCTAAGAGGCCTGCTCCTTGTTGGGCAGGCTCTGGTGTCCCCAGTACACGAGCCTCCGCGTGCCAGTGCCACACCCAAGTGGGGACGAGCACCTTGGCACCTCAGGACCCTGGCCAGGGCTCAGGCTTCGGGAGATGCAGGCATTTCTGAAGAAGGACCATGTCCAGTCACGCCCTGCCCTGCAGCTGGCCACTGCGTGAGACTAAGTGGCCCCGTGTCTTGTTAAAGGAAGCACAGTCGGGCCTGGGCCCGCGGCGGGGGCCAGCGAAGCAAGAGGGAGCCGCTGGGGGCAGAGAGAAGCCCCTGGAGGACGGCGCGGGGAGGGCAGCTGCGGAGTCAGGAGGGGCAGAAGCCACGCTCACAGAAGGAAGCGTCCCTGGGAGGACACAGAAGGGACTGGTCCCTGGAGAAGAGACGCTCTGCTGTGTCTTTCAGGCGGTGCTCCCGGAAACGCACCGACAGGACAGAGCGGAGGCCAGAGCCAAGGCCAGGCAGGAGGAGGCCCCCAGGGGGCCGTTGAGAACTGGCCGACCCAGGGCCACCCCCAGGGCCAGCAGCAGAGGAAGCAGAGGACGCCCAGCGCCCAGGCGAACCCCAAAGCAAGACCAAGCCCTAAGAGGGCCACCCTGGGAGTGCCGGGAGCTCAGCCCAGCCCCCACTTCCTGTCCCCCCAGTGACCAGTGTCCCCGCCCTGGGGAGAAGGTCACTCACCAGGTAGTACCTCTCCCGGAAGCTGGGGGTGCTTGGGGGTGTCCAGCTGTACAAGGAGCCCTTCCTGCTGCCCAGGGAAAACTTCCCTGTGGGGCTGGGTGACACCAGGAGGCTCTCAGAGTCAAATGGGCTGGAGGGAGAGCAGAGGCTGGGTGTCACCCGTTCCGGGTCCTCCCAGTGCAGGAGCTGTCCGGGGCCAAGTTCCGGGCCCGCGTCTTCATCAGTGATAGCCTGAGCAGGGGTGGGCGCGGCTGGCCCCACCACCCCTCCTTCCCCTCCAGGACAGCCCTCTGTGGCTGGGACTTGTGCAGGGGGGGACGGAACCCCCAGGTAAGCCACCTGTTTAGGCCAGTGCCACCCCTGATGGGAAGGGACAGGACTGAATTCACCCAGAGCCTTGAAGATCATCTAAAACGGAGCTCGCTACACACCTCTGCGCTCGGCTGAGCTGGGGGATGGAGGCGGTGGGCGCTCCCCACGTCCCAGACTCAGCCTGCAGCTGGGCACACAAAGGCCGGCCCAGCCATGAGGCCTGTGGCCAGGGCGCTGCGGGAACCTCCGGGGCAGCCTGCCTGCCAGCCACCTGCCCAGCCCTGCAGGCCCCGGGACCCGGGCTCCTTGGATGGCTGGACAGTGGGGAGCAGTTACCCCCGCGCATGCTAGAGGGTTCCCCTGGTGAGGTCCCCAACCCTTCACACCGTGGCCCCTGCCCTGGGGGATAATAGGGAATTCTCTGAAACACAAGTTTTCATTTGGGGGGGAAAAAAAGCTCTTCTGTCCACAGTGCGAAGCCTCTGGACTCTGGGGACCACCAGAGGCCAGTGCACGTGGAGCAGCATGAGAATCCCCACCCACAGGGTCCTTCTCATGAACATGCATCTCGCAGGTCTGTGGCCCTGGGGTCACCCCGGAACCAGGAGGCAGGTGCAGCCAGAGGCCTTCCTGGGCAGAGGCCAGTCTCCTCCAAGGAGCCAAGCTCAGGAGGCCTCTGGAAAGACCCCTGGTCAGCGCAGGGCGGAGCCGTCCCCTGGGCCAAAGTGAGGCTGGGCTCAAACTCAGGGCAGCTGGGGTGGGCAGGGCCGCGGAGAAGGCCTGGGCCTGGCCTTTGAATGGGGCAGGAGGCGAGAGTGGTCAGGGCAGGGACATCCTCAGGGACAATGCGGCCAGAGCCAGGCCCGGGGTGTGGTCCGGCCACTAGGGAGCGCTGTCAGAGTCTCTTGGCCCCTGGGATCTGGGGGTGGCCCTGGGGACGCGGGGCTGGCGCAGGGAGCTGCCACTCACTTCCACAGCACCTCCAGCTGCAGCTTGATGGTGCCCAGCTCTGTGATGTCCACCACCACCATCTGCGGCTGCGTCGTGAAGAAGTCTGCGATGTCGCAGGTCACGGAGCCCACCACCAGCGAGCTCAGGCCGCGCAGCTCTGTCACCTGGGAGCGGGGACTGGAGGGTGGTGTCCGAGCGAGCAGCCGGGGCGCCCTGGCCCCGCCCCAGGCCCAGGCCCCACCCCACCTTGATCTCCAAGTTCTCGTGCAGGGTGGGGACAAAGGCCTTCTCCTCCTGGTCCCACGTCTGGCTGTCGTCTGGCTCGATCCAGCCCTTCAGCCTCCAGCGCTGGCCGCCCAGGCGGATAAGCACCTGCAGTGGGCCCAGGAGGTGTGCTGGCCGCCCAGGGTCCCCAGCCACCTGAGGGCGCCCTCCCAGACAGGACCTCAGCTAGGACCCTGGCTCCCGGCAGCCCCCTCCCGCAAAGGCTGGCTGGACCCTGAGGACTGACCTCCGACGGCGGCCATACCTCATAGTGGTCTCCTGGGCAGAGGCGCGCGTAGCCCACCAGGCCTGGAACACAGAAATGGGCCGATGCTCGCCTGCCCCGCCCTGGAGGGGCACGTCAGCATCTGGGCAACCCCACAGAGAGGCCCAGGGGAGTGAGGCTTTCCACGTCTCATGTCCCTCCAGCGTGAAACCCAGAGGTGGGCCTGCCCTGGGGCTGTGGCCAACGCTGCTCACCCCCCAGGGGCCCCGAGAGGACCTGAGCCACCCACGCTGGCCTCCGGCCACTGCTCTCAGCCGTCACCTTTCATCCTGACGTGGAACTCGCCCAGGTGAACCTCCAGCGCCCCCTCGATGAGCCACATGTCCTGAAAAGCCCCGTGGGAGCTCAGCCACTCGCCCAGCCACACCCACCCCAGGGGACGCCACTGTCCCTGCAGCCAGAGCGCTCCGCCCACCTCGGCGCACTCGTGCAGGCTGCGGCCCAGCTCCTGCAGGCTCTCGCGGGAGGCGCGGCTGGGCGGGCACCTGGCGAAGGCGCGCTGCATGTTGGCAGCCCCGTCACGCAGGCGGCACTGGACACAGTAGCCCTCGTAGAGCTCCTCCACCTGAGGGGCACACCAGTGGGCACGGCCTCCCGGCCAGCCCCACACCACTGCCAGCACAGCACCCAGCCAGCACCCAGGGTGGCCTGGGGCAGCGGCCACCCCGCGCTCTGTACCCCAGCACCTGGTGGTGACTGTATACAGTCAGTGCACAATAAAGAACTAGTGAAGTGGACCAAGGGGTGCGTCACTTCCGCCTCTCAGCCTGGTTTTTCAGCTCTAAGATGGGAGGGGGCTTGTGATGGCCACGGGGGTCCCAGGGACAAAGGTCACAACAGGGAGCACAAGCCACAGAGAAGCCTCAGGGACCGAACCAGTCCTCCTTCTCAGGGCCTCTGCTTTCCCACCCAGGCTCTTAGGGTGGCTGAGCCCCGCCTCCCAGTCCTCTGGGGTGCAGCATGAGCCCCCCAGGCCTGGGGCCTGGCCACCCTCTTACACCCCCTCAGGCCAGAGACCCTGGGCCCTGGGACATGCCCGCGGCCAGGAGTCACCTGCAGTCACCAGCCTCCTCAGCCGCCTCTGCTCATCCTCACCCCATCCGCTGCCCAGGAACCTTGCCCTGCCCAGAGGGCTCCCAGCTCCTACTGGCCCGCCTCGGCCGCCCGCCCCTGGAGCCCTGGGGGCTGACCTTGCTGATGTGGAACTCCATCTTCCGGATGTGCCTCTCCACGCAGCGCGTTTGCTTATCCCAGGGAACGACACATCTGTTGAGTGGCCTGGGCTCCTGCCACCCGCCACCCTCCTCCAGGGCCTGACCCCGGGAGCAGGGTGACCCAGCCCCCTCCCACCCTGGGGGAGGCTCACCCTGGCCTCAGTCTGCCCATTTGTAAAGTGGGAGGAGACCAGGGCTCGTCTCGGGCAGCCGGGGCAGCTGGGGGCAGTCAGGGGCAGCTGGGAGTAGCCGGGGGCAGCGGGGGCAGCCAGCCCAGCGTCGCCCACCCTGCTGAGCGCGGGGGGGGGCTTACCTTGTCCAGGTCGTAGTAGAAGGCCTGTGGGGAGCAAAGCGGGGTCAGAGCCCAGCGCTCCTCAAGGCCCGAGGGCCCACGTGCAGGGGCCTCTGAGCTTGGAGGACAGAAAGCCAATGGCTGCAGCCGCCCCAGGCTGTCCTCGGTGGCCCGCGGACTGGTCACTGACCAGGCCCAGGAGGAGTGGCGGCCACAGGGTATGTACTTGGGGCCTGGTGGGCCTCAGACTCTGTGACCATGTGGTGGGAGACCATGGACCTCGGCAGATGATGGCGTGGCCACCAGGCTCGCTGAGGCAGGCCGCTGGTTGCCCACAGGGGAGGGGTCCTTCCGGCTGCCTGGTCCCAGGAGATCAGAAAGCCAGGGCAGGAGAAGCGAGGTGTGCACAGTGCTCAACGGGACTTTGTTCTATTTGCTTATGTATTTATTTATTTTTGTTGTCTGTTTGTTTTGTGGGACTGGGGATGGAACCCGGGGCGCTTCACCACTGAGCCACCTCCCACCCTTGGTGTTTTTTATTTTGAGAGAAGGTCTCACGAAGTTACCGAGACTGGCCTCCAACCTGTGATCCTCCTGCCTCAGCCTCCTGAGTCTGTGGGATTACAGGCGTGCGCCCTGCGCCCCGTGTGACCTCATTTTTGCAGGTTAGCTGTTGACCCAGAACTTCTGTGTGCACACGTGTGTGTTGGCATGATCATCACGTGACCAAGGGGGGCAATTAAAGAACAAGCAAGGGTGAGGAAGGGCCACCCGGGCGGGCAGGGAAGATGGGGGAGAGCATCGTGTGAACAAGAAGGAGACTCAAGCCCCCAACGCGGGTTTTCCCGTGGGTGACGTTGAAATGGCACGTGTAAGGCCGAAAGCCAAAACCCGTCTCAGAAAGGAACAGGAAAGAGTCCAGGACTTCGGAAAGAAGACGGCTGCCTGGCACTGCCTCAGAGACCCAGGTCCTGCTGCTGTGCCACCCGGCAGCCGCCAGGGGAGCAGCCCATGTGTCCTCCACGGGGTGCCCCGGGCAGAACCTCCCGTGGGAGAGCCACGCGCACGCGCTCACACCCTGCCTGCCTCCGTGACCCCAGAGCTGAGGGCAGGTGCTGGGCCCAGGCAGGGCCTGGCAGCGCCTCTTCCCACCTGTGCTGGCGCCTCCCAGCCACCCGCCCAGGGTGGGCCTCAACGGCCCGCCCTGCCGGCCCGGGCCTCCCCAGTGGGCCTCTGGTATGAAAACCCACTTCCCTGCTGCCCGCTGCCCCTCACTCGGCTGGAGGCCTGCTCTGCACTTTGTCAGCGCTTTGGAGGGGCCCAGATGGCACCCCCACAGCCGCGAGGCCCCTCCTCGTGTTTCAGAGCCTGGCCGGGAAGCGTGGGTCCCGCGGGCAGTCAAGGGAGGAGCCGGAGGCCAGCCCACATCCAAAGGGTCCTCCCCGGGGTGGAGGCCCGAGCCGTGGGAGCCGGCCGTGCCCAGGCGCAGCCAGGACCGTGGGCACCGACACTCGCCATAAACAGTGAGCGGCTCTTCAGTGTCAATGTCCCCAAAGTCCCGCGGAACACAGTTAACTAGACCGTGTTCGCCGTCTGTCTGTCTGGGGCAGAGCCAGCGGGCCTCCCGGGCTGTCCCGTGCTCCCTGGTCCCTTTGTTCTTTGCTGACTCAGGCCGCAGCGGGGTGAGCACTGGCCCTGGCTGGACAGGCCCGGGCCCTGCCTCAAAGCCACTGCTGGTGACAGCAGGAAACCTGGCCAGCCCTGGACATGGAGGACAGCAGGGGCCACTGTGACACTCCAGAGGGACGTCCACTGTCTCTGGTCACGTCAGCCTCCAGGTCCCAGGGCACCCAGTGTCCAGGGCCTGTGAAGTGGGACCACCCAGGACAGCTGCCCTGCAGGTCCCTGCCTGCCCAAGTTCCTTCAGAGCCAAGAGCAGGGGAGGTGGCCCAGGGGCCTGCGCTGCCCAGTTACGTCCATCGGGTTGAGGTGAGGTCGACTCACCCCGAAACCAACGTCCCTCCCCTGAGTCTCGATGTCCAGACTGACCACGCTGGACGGGGCAGGGCGGGCGCTCACCAGCCTGGAGTTCCTGCGGGCGTCGGCGTGGCGTCCACACAGGTGGTCCAGCTCGGCCTGCTGCGCGCACAGGTGCTGCCTGTGGAGAGGAAGCAGGGTCTGGATGGAGAGGAGCCAGCACGTGGGGGCAGGCAGGTGGCCGTGCCGAGGGCTGCGCTGTCTTCAGAGGCCACCCTGGTGCTGGGGTCACCAGGGCAGGAGGAGGGTCTCAGGAGGCCACCCCACAGAGAGGCCTGGCTGGACCCCACAGGGAGGAGGTGGACTGAGACCCGCAGCCACCTCGTGGCCTCCTGAGGCCACACTCTCCAGCCCTGCGTGCGCCCCTCCCGGCCTGGGGCCCAGCTCGCTCACTCCTTTATGGACAAGCATGGCCTTCCTGCCAACTGGATGCCCAGGACGGGGACACTGCAGGGCCTTTGCACACTCTGGAAAGCTCAGAGGGAGTGGCAGCAGGAGACCTGGGGTCTGCCAGAGGGCACTGGGGTGGCGACCACCCTGCTCCATCACAGGTCTGCTGGGTTGCCCTAGGAAGGTCACTTGCCCTCTCTGGGCCTCACTTCTACTACCTCAAACATGGAAGGAACAACTTCTTTTGGGAGACCACTGCTCGCTCAGGAATTGGGCTCTCCCAGCCCTGGACAAGTCTCCAGCAGGTAGTCCTGAGGGGACGCCAGAAGCTGCCCTTGGGATGAGCCCTCGGGGTGGACCCCCATCTCCAGGCACATGGCATCTCCCACTCCCATCAGCAGGGACCCCAGGCCTGGCCCGGAGGGGAAGGGCCACCCTCCTTCTGCCGGCCCGTGGCCCATGTCCTCTCACTCTCCAAGCCCAGAGCTTGGGCCCTTGATTTCTCCTGGTGCCCCTGGTCCAGGGGCCACGCAAAGCCACCTGTCCCACGTCTCGGTCCCCTGCTCCAGCGCACGGGGCGTTTTTGAGGAGGGACGTCTGAAAACCACTTCACTGGAGGACCCTGGCACCGACCACCCCGTGGGGCTGGGCTGCCACTGACCGAGGGCGGAGCGAGCCTCTGTCCAGCAGCGGGCCAGGGGCTGCACCTGGGGACGGCACTCCAGAACCGCCTCCCAGCCCCCCAGCTGTGGTGACGGGTGGTGGAGCCCTGCTCTGCTCAGACTAAAGCAGCGCGCTCTGCCCCTCTGGAGCCCCGGGCCACTCCTGGGCCGCCCCCACCATGCCCACATCCCACCCACGCCGTCAGCCCCCTCCTAAGGGTCTGGAAACTGCTCCCGTCCCTCTGGCCCTGCCGCATCCTGGGCCAGCCCACGGCCTCCCTGCCTTCCCGGCCTCCTGGCCTCCTGGCCTCCGTGGTGCCACCTGCGCACACAGCCTGGGTCCCACCGAGGCCTGAGCCGCAGGGTCCTTCCTCTCATGGGTCCTCCGTGGCTCCCAGGTGCAGGCGGAGCACCAGAGCTGTGGTCCCTACTGCCCTCTACCCACCTCTCTCCCTGAGCCGCCCCCACCCCGTCTGCTCGGCCCCAGCCCCCTACCCCAGGGCCTTTGCACTTGACTCCTCAGGCCTAGAGCGTCCTCCGATCTGTGGGGCCACCTCCTCGCCACTGTGGGCTCTGCTCAGAGCCACCTTCTTGGCGGGGCCTCCCTGCACGCTGGGCCTGCCCGCCCTGCCCTCTGTCCTCACACCGTGCGTCTCCCCTTCCTGGGCTGTTGATGGCCTCTGTCTGTCCCTCTGGGAGTCACCACACCTGAGTGCCTGGCGCCTCCGGAGGCTTCAGGTAGTAAAGGCTGGCAGCTGCCTCCCTGGGGCCTCAGACCGCCCTCCCCACCTTCCGTCAAGCCCCTCCCTCCCTCGGATCCAGCCGCCCATCTGCTGCGCTCAGGGCACAGGCTCCCGCCCCAGGGCCTTGGCTTGTGCTGTTCCCTCAGCCTGGGCTGCTGGTCCCACAGAGGAGCTGGGACGGGAACATCCTCCCCTGAGGCCACGGCCTCCTCCCAGGACCAGCCCCTCCGCCCCCGCAGGGCCCTCCCCGCACGCGGCTGTCACCTCCCCTCTGAGTGTCCTGGGACCAGGCTCCTCCTGCCTTGTTCCCCAGGGGTCCCCAGAGCCTGGGGCAGGGCTGCACACAGCTGGGCCCGGGCAGGAGCAGCCGGGAGTGAGTGCAGCCCGCGGCCACTCACCTGAGACCCCTCTTCAGCGCTTCAAAGATCCTCTTCACCTGCTGGGGCTGGGGGTCCAGGCAGGCCGACCCCTTGCGCAGCGTGCCGTAGGTCCTGGGGGGCTTGGCGGGGGTTCGTGACCTCACTGAGTTCCTGCTGAGGGACTTCCTGTGGGGGACGAGGCCAGAGAAGTCGGCAGGGACCAGGCCCCCGGCCAGGCAGGACCTGGCTGGTCCCACCCTCCACCTCCCAGCTGTGGGTCTCGGGAAAGCTGAGACTCTCTGAACCTCAGTCTCCTCATCTATAAGGTGAGGGGCCTGGACTTGGGATTAAGAAAACAATAATAAAAATCCAGTGTCAGAGAGGAGCTGCAGCTGGAAAGAGAACCAGCAGCCGGATGCTGGAGCTCTCGGCCGGGTCCTCGTCCTGGGTCCGCAGGAGGTGGGCTCCCATCCCCTCCGCTGCTCAGAGCTCCCAGACCTGCCTCTCCGACTTAGGGAAAGGCTTCTCGCCGAATCCCCACGCCCGCCCGTCCCACAGCGCACGGGACACCGGCAAACGCACTCCCCAGGCAGGGGACGGCCCACCAACCCACGTCCTGACTCAGGCACACAAGTTAGACTGGAAACCAGCCTGGAGTTTGGTTCAGAGTTCACAGGGAAAAGGGTTCTTCCTGCTGGCATGGCCAACCTGGAGCTCCCAGGTGCCCCTCTTGTCACCAGGCAGGGACAGTGAAGCTAATGCAGAGAAGCAGATGGAGTCAGAGCAAATCCATATAATAATGAGTTCCTGGATCCAGCCATGCCTGAAGCTAGCACTCCCGTGGACTTTGCCGGTACAGGTAGTTGGAGTTGGGATTCTGGACTAGCTGATCCTTAGGGCTAATGTCCCCCAGCAGTGACAGTCAAGTGTCTGAGTCCTGCAGAGGTGCACCAGCATCTCAGGACTGACTTCGGAAGTGAGGCCAGGTCAGCCTCATCAGAGCACACGGCGGGTGTCATTGGCGCCTAATCCCCGCTCAGGATCCTGCAGCTTGTGTGCTAGGCTGCAGGCCCCGGTTGGCTGATGTGGCCTTTGGTCACCAGCAGGTGTGCGAAGTCCACTCTCCAGCCTCCGGAGGC